ACCTACCACTTTTGTCGTCCAACTAAGGTACGAGTTAGTTTAAGTTTTTATTTTTTTAGTTTGGTTCGTGAGTAGTAGTTACTCTGTGTGTGTGTGTGTGTGTGTGTGTGTGTGTGTGTGTGTGTGTACATCTTCTTTACCCAGTCATCTGTTGATGGACATCTGGGTTGTTTCCATGCTTGGCTATTGTAAATAGTGCTGCTCATCTTAACTATTTGTAAGTGTACAGTTCAGTGGCATTAAGTACATTCACATTGTGCAACCAATCACTACCATCCATCTCCAGAACTTTTCATTTTCCCAGACTGAAACTTCATACCCATTAAACATTAACTCCCCATTTCTCTTACCTCCACGCTAGCAACCACCATTCTAGTTTCTTTGTCTCTGAGTTTTGCCTACTAATGCAGTTTTTAAAATACTTTTTATTTTAGTAGTCAAATCTCTTAAATTGTATTATGGTTTCTGACTTGGGTACCATACTCCTAGAAGCCTAACAAGATTTAAATAAAAATTTTTTTTCTATGTTTTCTTACCATACATTCATGTGTTGGTTGTCTTTAATATTTAAATCTTTGTTTTTTTAAGAATATTTTCAGGATGATGAGTGAGAATAGGGCTTTGGTCTTTTTTTAATCCCAGTGACCAATTTCTCTTGTTTTTTGTATAACCCATTTATTAACCACTCATGTGAAACTTGTTCTTTGTCATATTCTAGTTTTCCAAACACATGCTATGCCTACTTACAACATGCATATATTCACTTGTTAGACATGACTACACATTCTGCTTACATGACCCCCGTCTACCCATATGTGTGTGTTGCTCACATGATATGAATTTCATGTCTAATCTGGACTACCTTTTGGATTCCATTCTGTTCCATTCCTGTTCAGTGTCTCTGTGCCTAATACATTGAAGGGCAAAGCCCTATTCTTTACTCTGTCTTTTTAGAAAAATGGTTACTATATTTTGTTTATTTTTCCAGATACATTAGAATTCTTTTGGTAACTCCTAACCCCAAAAAACACAATTGGAATTGTGTTGATTTTATAGATTAATTTGAAGATAATTAATATGTCTATATTGCTATCTAATCCTTTTGAAGAGGAAGTTATTTTTTATTTTCTGTCTTTCAGTAGAGGGTTTAATTTCCTTTATGTAAGTCATGCAGTTTCCTCATTAGTGTGATTCCTAAATATGTTAGTGTAATTCTTGAAGAAGCAATAAACAATTTAATAAAACTCTTAAAACACTGGATTATTCTAAAAGGAAACTGTAAGAAATCCCAGTTGCTTGGCAACCAAAGCCAGCCCAAATGACCTAGTTTATTCTTAGATAGCCTTGATTTCTTCCCAGTACCCTTTCCATTTTGTTACTTTTGTCCAATTTTTTGCATTGATGTTTGAGAAAGTCATCATTTTTAAAAATTCAAAGTCCTAAATATATATATATCTGTATATGTAAACTGTACCAGATGTCTTCTTATTCAGGCAGCCCCAGGAAGCTGATAAATTACTGTTTTATTCTCTTTTGTTCTCTGAATAACTGAATATCCGAAAACATGCACATAACTTATTTTCCAGCTTATGGACATAGTTTCCAGAGAGTCGGGTGAATATCAAGTATTTCTGTCCCTTGATTTAAACTAAAATTATAGCTAAATAATTTAGATCGTATTTTGAGATACAGTGTTTGAGAAATGGTTGTATTAAAAGTAGTCATTTTTGTATAGGCACTTTTTCTTGACCTTGTAGATGGAAGTTTATAAATCTGCAAAGAGGTGACTATGGAAGAACTTTTCCTTAAGATTTCCCTAAAGATCATCAAACTGAACACTTAAAATCTGTGCATTTTATTGTATATTCATTTCCATCTCAATTTTAGAAATGGCTTCTCCACATTATCCAGGCATGTTTAAATTTTACATGGAGTATGTTGACCTCCCCCATGTCGAAAAAATATTTGTTGGTTTTCTGAACATACTACTGCTAGTCCCTTTACTAATAGTTAATGTAAACATTTCAGATTTGAAATGTTGCTGAAACATTTAAAAATTATCTCCCATAGTAAGAATTCTTCTGCGTCATAATTTTAGCATTAGATACACAGAAAATGTCTTCTGTGTGTCTGAAATCTCTTCATATTAAGAAGACATTGTTTTTCCTCAGACTTTTCGATGTTACTTATTAAATAAATCAATCTTTTCTGAGATTTTTATTGTCAAAAGCCTTTCTTGTATGCCTGCTACACAGAGATCCTTGTACTCGATGCTCCATGAAGTACTAGAGAATATTGACAAGTCTGGAATAATTGGGACAATATATACCATGGCTTCTCATGTTTTTCCACTGTGGTATCCCTTGTACCAAAGAGGAAGGAGTGAAGGGAGAGGAACAGCAACGACAACAGTAGTAACAGCGACAGCAGCAGCAGTGAGCATATGTGCAGAGTTGTTTAATAAGAAGGATTGATAGAATGATTGATGGGGGTAGTGAAGTAAAGTCAGTGAGGTTAAGTTTACTTTTGAATGTGCAGGCTTAGTTTTGATAAGACTTAATCATCCTAATCTAAAAAGGAAAGGAACCATCATTCCATTGAGAGCCTCACTATGATGACGTTTTTCCCTAGACAGTCTAGGCTTGTGATGTCTAATATAGTAGCTGCTGGCTACGTGTGGCTTAATTTAAATAAGTTAAAAAATTCAGTTTCTCAGTTGCATTTGGTACATTTTGAGTGCTCACTAGCCACTTGTGGCTAGTGGCTATCATACTGAATACTGTAGATATTGAATATTTCCGTTATCACAGGAAATTCTGTTGGACAGCACTGTTTATCTTCCGTGTCTCTACTTAACCTTTCCTCTGTGTGTATGTGTATGTGTGTGTGTGCCATACAATTATAATAACTAATGTTCTTATCTGCTAATTCTAACACCTGTGTCAATTCTGGGTCTTTTTTGGCTGACCTCCTAACCTCACCCTTGCCTAATGAAAGGCTCAAAGTGGAAGTGTGAACCAGTCTTCAAACTTGAAAGCAGTACAACCCTTTTTGTCCAAATAAAATCTTAACTGGGGAGCCCAGTGTAAAGTAAATAAACCTCCATGTTTGAAACAGGATTGAGTTGCTCAGTATTCCACACACCTGGCTTTATGAGAGCATAGTTTTAAAAGCTAATGACATAAACAAATAATTCATATATTGTTCTCAAAGATAATGATGATGATGTGGAAATGGATTATTTGGCAGTTTATGCATTACCTGATACATAAAAATCTGTGTATAGCATAAAAATGCTATTAAAAGGTATAAAAAAGATTTGTGTATAAGTATAAAAGTGGAAGTTGTTCAACTGTTAAACATACGGAAAGTAAAAGATTGCTAGTTTTCAGAAAGATATTTATTTTAATATTATTTATCATACAAAAATATTGGAAAGCTACTCATCTAATACTGGAGAGGTGGTATAATAAATAGTAAACTAAAAAGTAAAATTACGGAAACAAAACAAGAAATTTTACTATAAAATAGCACACAAAGTACTGTGATCTTTAGAACTACAAGTGAATACAATATTTAAAAATGAAAGAAGCTGCATTAAAGTGATAGGATTTTTTTCATTTTGTGGCATAAATGTTTTACTAATTATCACTGTTCTTAAGAATTATAAGTATGAAACAATTTGACTAATGAAAAGTTGCATTTCATTTTAATAGTCATTAATCATGCTTTTTCCCCCTTCAGTTTTCCCTTCTTTCACCTACTTAATTTTTTAAGTATTTTAAATTTTGAGACAGTAACAAAATTTTTAAAGAGTGGTAGATACAATATAAAGAACTTTTAATTTTTTTTTGAGGCATTTGGGAATAAATTGTTAATGTAGTCTTACTTCATTGACCAAAATCTTAGTGTGCATGTCCTTCGAGCAAGGACATTCTCCTACACAACCAGAGTACAGTGATCAAAATCAGGAAATTAACATTGATGCATTACTTCCCTCCAATCTTCAGTCCCCATTCAAGTTTTGCCAGTTGTCCCAATGATGTTTGCTTTAGCAAAACAAACATTATTCATAATCACATGTTCCATTTAGAAGTCACATTTTGTAGTCTTTAATCTGAAACAGTTACTCAGTTTTTCTTTGACTTTTGTAACCTTGACACTTTTGAAAATTATAGGCAACTTATCTTTTAGGATATCTCTCAGTTTGAGTTTTTCTGATGTTTCCTTGTGATTAGATTCAGTGTATGTAGCTTTGACAGGAGCATCACAGAAGTAATGCTCGTTTTTTTCTCATTGCATCATATAATGTGGCACATAATTTCAATTTTTGCATTAGTAATGGTGGGCTCTTCGATCACTTGATATGATGGTGTTTGCCTAGCTTCTCCACTGTAAAAGTTATGACTTACAAAGGGGGAAAGAAAAGTATTTGGGAGAAAGTTACTATAAGACAGTGTAAATATACTGTTCCTTATCAGCGGTTAATTTATATCAACATATGGACTTAAGGTTTCCCATTTTATCTGATGGGTTTTTATTCATTACAGTCATTATTTTGGTTCTCAAATTGTCTTATATTTGGCCAGTGGGAGCCCCTTCAAGCTGTCTTGTGTGTCCTTTTGGCATGTTCCCATCATTCTCTGAACACTTCTTTGCATTCTGGTACAAAACAACAACAACATAACCCCAAAAGAACAAAAAAAAGTTATACATTCATCTATGCTTTTCTTGCTCTAGCTATAGAACTAGAGAGTTTTTAGAGCATATCCTGATTCCTTTCAGTGGAGAATGATATTTGGGAACTTGTCTGCCTGACCTTGCTTGAGCTCTAACATCTCATGCCAGCCTGCCCCTCATGGACTGATCTCCTTTTCACCCTACTCAGACTGTCTTTACTGCGTTGGCTCTCTACACCACGTGGACCCCTTCCTGACTCTTTCTGGGCTTTGACACTCTGGCTAGGCTGCTCTCCTCTGGATGACTTTCTTACCCTTCTCATGCTCCCCAGGTCTGACAGCCAGCAGTGAGCCACCCACACACAGTTAATTTCCTCACCTTGTTTGGGCTCAGGTTACACTTGCCAGGCAGTCCTACCACAGGGATGTGCTCCTCACATTGCTCAGGCTCTGATGCTCCATGCCAGGATGCCTTCGTCTCAAAATGTCCCCTTTGCCCCACTCTGAACTACTGCAGCTCCTCTCTTCCTCTGTATTTACACCTATCATAGGCCACTCATAGGCTCTAGAACTCAATTGTTCAGGGAAGAAAAAAGAAGAGGGACTTGAGTGATTTTTAAAGTGATCTTTAGTATTTTACACTGAATTTTTTTGCTATTGTCATTTAAAAATAGGAAATAAAAATCATATTCAAGCTTCTTTTTT